ACAATTCCTGAATTTTTAACAGTCAGCTCCTATGAGCCACTCCAACATACTGCTGTTTTGAGAATTCCTTTCTTTTTTTTTTTTTAATATTCTCTTATGTTTTCATACAGTGTTTTTTTTTATTTTTTAAAATGATGTATTTATTTTTGGTTGTGCTGGGTCTTCAGTTACTACATGCAGGCTTTCTTTAGTTGCACTGAGCAAAGGCCACTCTGTTGCGGTGCACGGGCTTCTCACTGCAGTGGCTTCTCTTGTTGCGAAGCACAGGCTTTAAGCGCACCAAATGAGCTTCAGTTGTGGCTCACAGGCTCAGTAGTTTGGCGCATGGGCTTTAGTTGCTCCGGGACATGTGGAATCTTCCTAGACCAGGGATTGAACCCATGTCCCCTGCATTGGCAGGCAGATTCCTATCCACTGTACCACCAGGGAAGAAGTCCTCTTTGAGGATTCTTTTTGACACAAGGAACCCACTCACACTAGCTTAGGCTAAAAGGGCATTTTTTGGAAGGCTACAGAGATATGGAAAATAGGGCAAGACACACAGATGGGTAGCCAGATCCTAAGAACCTGAATGCAAGCAGGAAGTGTATTCAGGTCAGTCTCTGTGGGTCACGTGATCTCTTGGGTCTCATATCTTTTGGTCTACTTATTCTAAATCCTTCTAGCCATGTGACTTTAGGAAAGCTTCTTAACCACTCTGAGCCTTGGTTTCCTCATCTGTAAACGGGCTAATAGTTCCAAGCTCACTGGGTAGATTCTGTGATGGGTACGCAAACATGCTGTTAGGAGTTGATTTTGTCCGGTAACAAATGAAAATGGACAACCTCCTATCAGTAGTTGGCTAAAGCTGGGCAGAATAAATCACCTCTCCCAGAATCTGGATGTTTAGACAGGAAAGACACAAGGAACATCTTGGAGGAAAGTCCCTGGAAGGCTGTAGCTCCTCTGAGGTTTGGTAACAGCTTCCTCCCAGATGCTATGGGCTGCCTCAGTGACCTTCCGATTAGTCCTGAGGCTTTAATCAGTCAAGGCCAACTACAGCAGGTCTCCATAACCCCAACGAAGACCACAGAGGACAATGAATGCCACAGCCACAGGAGAAGAAATCTGATTGGCAGCCTGGGGCAGGTATCCACTAGTGGGCCAATCATCTCTGGCCCAGAGGCAAGAGCTCCTGGTTAAGACAGCCATCTAGTCAGTCAGCAAAAATCAGTTGAGCGCCTGCTGTGAGTGGGGTGCTGGGGACAGCCATGAACAAGACATGGCTTAGCCTCATGAGCTCACGTAGTGGATGAGAGGCGCGTTCACTTCCTGTCAGTGCTATAACGGCGACCACAAGATAGTGGCTTAAATAAAACAATGCAAACGTATTATCTTACAGCTCCCGAGGTCAGGAGTCTGTAGTGGGTCTCACTAAGCCAAAACCAAGCAAGGTGTCAGGACTTCCCGGTGGTCCAGCGGCTAAGACTCCCAAGCTCCTGGTACAGGGCGACCGGGTTCAATCCCTGATCAAGGAACTAGATCCCACAAGCTGCAACTAGGACGTGGTGCAATCAAATTAAAAAAAAATTATTTAAAATAAAATCAAGATGCCAGCAGTGGCTGGGAATTTGTCTCAAGGGCACTTGGGAGCCATAGAGAGTTTGTGAACAGAGGGGAGGTAGGTTCAGCTCGGGTTGAAAGACACACAGACATGATATAAGGTGACAGGTAAAGTACAATAGCAGTAGAAGCAGCTTGGGGCACTCTGGGAGCCCAAAGGAGACACCTTTCCCAACTTAAGTGTGTGTGTGTCTGTCTGTATAGGAGGTGAAGATGAGAGAGATGGCAGGAATCTCCCCAAGGCAACTGCCATTCTCACTGAGTTTTCCCCCCAGCTTTATGGAAGTATGATTGATAATTAAACATTGTATATATCAGTATTTCAGTTCTACAATGTGATTTCTTATGCACTGTGAAATGATTATCACTGTCAAGTTAATTAACGCATCTGTCATCTATTTGTGATAAGGACAAAAGATCCACTCTCAGCTACTTCTCAGTATATAATCCAATCTTTTTTTTTTTTTGCCACACTGCCTGGCATATAGGATCTTAGTTCCCTGATCAGGGATTGAACCCACACTCACTGGACCGTCAGGAAAGTCCCTATTTATTCTTTTTTGAGGGACCTTCACACTTTTTTCCATAGTGGCTGTACCAAGTTACATTGCTTCACAATCCCCTCTCCAACATTTCTCTTTTTTTTTTCTTTTGGTTGAGCTGCCTGGCTTGTGGGATCTCAGTCCCCTGACCAGGGATTGAACCTGGGCCCCAGCAGTGAAAGCACCAAATCCTAACCACTAGACCACCAAGGACCTCCCCCTCTCTGTCATAACCTGTTAGCCAACCTAACAAGTTATGTGAGGTGATAATCTCACTGTGGTTCTGATTTGTATTTCCCTAATGAATAGTGATTGCATTGAGCCTTGAAGGGCAATGAGCATCTAATTAGAAAAGTGTGTTGAGGGGGAGGGGAGGGCAGGCAGGGAGCATCCCTGGCGAAGGAAACAGCATGTGGAAAGACCCAGAGGTTTGAAACAGCTTTGAGGGAACTAGTGGTTTCAATGATGTCCCCACCAAAATACTTCCTCATCCGTGGAACCTATGAATGTGATCTTACTTGGAAAGTCATCCTTGAAGATGGAAGTAAGTTAAGGATCTCAAGATAAGATATCCTGGGTTATCCAAGTAGACCCTGCTTCTAAATACAAGTTTCTTTATAAGAGACAAAAGAGGAGGACTTCCCTGGTGGCTCAGTAGTAAAGAATCCACCTGCCAAGGGGACACGGGTTCCATCCCTGGTCTGGGAAAGTCTTAACATGCCACGGAGCAACAAATCCTGTGCGCCACAGCTATTGAGCCTGTGCTCTGGAGCCCAGAAGCCACAACTACTGAGCCCATGTGCCACAATTACTGAAGCCCAAGTGCCCTAGAGCCTATGCTCCGCAACAAGAAGCCACCACAGTGAGAAGCCCCCACATCGCAACTAGAGAGGAGCCTCCGCTCTCTGCAACTAGAGAAAAGCCCGTGCAGCAATGAAGAGCCAGTGCAGCGAAAAATAAATAATTTAAAAAGAGAGACAAAAGAGGAGAGGACAGGAGAAGAGCAAAAAGCCATGTGAAGTTGGAGATGGAAGTTGAACTCAAGTTTTTGCCTCCTTCCCTGGAAATTGAAGGTGAGGTTGGAGATTGGAAGTGAGAAATTCCAGCCCTCTAGTCACGTGACTGGTCTTTCTGGTCCTGCCCAGCCCCCATCCTGAGTCACCTCATTAGTGTAAGCTCTGGTGTGATCAGGGAGCCCCTCTTAATAACAAAGACACGCCTATCTGGAAGTTCCAGGAAGTTAGAGGTTGTCACCCGAGAAACAGCCCAAGACCTGGTGCATTTTCCAGTATATGACAATGCAGAGGGGGGCCAGGATCCTTTTGTTCATTCATTTAACAAATATTGATGGAGTACAGGCTGTGCGCCAGTCATGGTTCTAGGTGCTGGAAATCCAGCAGGATAAACATACCATGGTCCTCCTGGAGTTGAAGTCCTAATGGGGACAACTGACAATAAAGAAGATAAATAAACTGCAGTGGTGTGTCAGAAGGTGATAAGTGACAAGGGAGAAAGCAAAGCTCGGATGAGTGGGGGTGCTGGGAGGGGTTACAACTTGAAAAAGGGTGGTTGGGGAAGGCTTTGCCTTGTGTATTTTAAAAAAAAATTTGGGGGGAGGGTTGTACCGGGTCTTCATGGCCATGCTCTGGCTTTCTCTGCTTGAGGCAAACAGGGACTCCTCTTCATTATGGTGTGCGGGCTTCTCATTGCGGTGGCTTCTCTTGTTGCAGAGCATGAGCTCCTGGCACACAGGTTTCAGCAGTTGAAGCAGGCGGGTTCAGTAGTTGCAGCTCGCCTTTGCCTTGTGTATTTGAGCAAAGACCTGAATGAGATCAGGTTGAGCCATGTGGGTATCTGGGGGAAGGGCATTCCCGACTGAGGGAACAGCCAGTGCAAAGGCCCTGGGGCAGGAATGTGCCTGCCTAAGGCCAGTGTGGCCGGACTGGAGAGAGGCAGGAGGAGAGGCCAAGTCTGTCTAGGCCACAATGAGGACTTGGACTCGTGTGCCAGGTGTGCGGGTGGGGGGCAGCGTGGAGCAGAGGAGGGACGTGAGGGGACTTAGGTCTTCACAGGCTCCCTCAGGCTGCACGTGGAGAACAGACAGGCAAGTGAGGACTGAGGCAGGGAGGCTGCTAGGGTGAGTAGGAAACAATGATTTTCAGGTGGGTGATGGTGGTGACAGTGGCAGGGGTGAGATGCAGTGGGATTCTGAATACATTTTGATAAGTCAACAAACTTGCTGATGGATTGGACTGTCAATGGGCAGTGAGAGGCAGAGTCACAGTTCCCCTCCAAGGCTTTGGGCCAGAACACCTGGAAGGATGGAGCTCTCACTTACCACCAGGTGGAAGGAGATGTGGGTTGGAGAGTGGGGGTGGGGTTTCAAAGCAAAGGTGAAGGGCTCAGGGTGACCTCCTCCTTGCCTGGGCTGCGTTAATTCTAGCTAGAGACAGATCCACGTTGGAGCCCCAGCGCCACATTCACTGTGTCCCATCCGGGCTATCAACCCAAGCTCAGACACCTTGAGCGTTAAGTCCCGCTAAAGCGCCCACTGCGGCGTCAGCTGCCACCTGTCACCACCAGGTGGCGCCCCTTGCACCAGCCCGATCCACCCCAGCTCACTCTCCCCCCAAAATTTTCTTTCACTTTCGATCTCTGGCTGTCACCCGGCGTGGCCCCTTCCACACCCAGCTGGGGCAAGCCTGGTGCGTGAGGAGAAATGGACTCCGGGTCCCCGAAGGGCGGGGCCGGGGTCCCCCTCCTGGAGCTGAGCGCAGACGGCTGGGGGTCGGGTTCCTGGGTCCCTGGCCTGCGCAGAGTTGCGGGCACCGGACGTCGGGGTTCTTAGAAGGGGAGATGAGGAGTTTTCACCGTAACTGTGCTTCACGCAGGAAGCCCTATAGAGTAGGAGGCGGAAACTTAGCCACATCAAAGGACCGAGGGAGGGGCGGGGAGGTGAAGGGGCGGGCAAGGAAGGGGCTGGGGTGTGGGGGTCCGAGACTCGTTCTTCTGTCCCTTCCAAGATCCGGCCACAGGCATGAAGGGCCCCCGGCAGAAATGATAGTGCTGGCGCCAGCCTGGAGCCCAACTGTGCGTATCCCTAGGGGTTAAGGTGGGGGAATGGCAGTGTCAAGATGGGCAGAGCTGAGAGGGGAGGTGGACAGAGTTGCGGTGGACACGAGTGGGGAGATGAACAGGGGTGGGGGGAGATGGAGAGAGTTCGGGGGAGATGGAGAGAGTTAGGGGGAGACAGACAGAGTTGGGGTGGTCAGGAGTGAGCAGATGGACAGAGGTGAGAGATTGACAGGGGTGGGAGAGATGGACAGAGTTGGAGGGAGATGGACAGGGGTGGGGGAGATGGACAGAGGTGGGGGGAGATGGACAGAGGTGGGGGGAAATGGACAGAGGTGGGGAGATGGACAGAGGTGGGGAGAGATGGACAGAGGTGGGGAGATGGACAGGGGTGGGGGAGATTGACAGGGGTGGGGAGATGAGATGGACAGGGGTAGGGGAAATTGACACAGGTGAGGGGAGGTGGACAGAGGTGGGGGAGATGGACAGGGGTGGGGGAGATTGACAGGGGTGGGGGAGATTGACAGGGGTGGGGAGATGAGATTGACGGGGTGGAGAGATGAGATGGACAGGGGTGGGGAGATGAGGAGATGGACAGGGGTGGGGGAGATGGACAGAGGTGGGGGGAGATGGACAGAGGTGGGGGGAAATGGACAGAGGTGGGGAGATGGACAGAGGTGGGGAGAGATGGACAGAGGTGGGGAGATGGACAGGGGTGGGGGAGATTGACAGGGGTGGGGAGATGAGATGGACAGGGGTAGGGGAAATTGACACAGGTGAGGGGAGGTGGACAGAGGTGGGGGAGATGGACAGGGGTGGGGGAGATTGACAGGGGTGGGGAGATGAGGAGATTGACGGGGTGGAGAGATGAGATAGACAGGGGTGGGGAGATGAGGAGATGGACAGGGGTGGGGGAGATGAGATGGACAGGGGTAGGGGAAATTGACACAGGTCGGGGGGTGGACAGAGGTCGGGGAGATGGACGGAGCTGGCATGGACAGAAGTGGGCGAGATGGACAGGGGTGAGGGAAGAAATAGGGAAGTGGGGGCAAATGGGGAAGATAGGACTCAGATGTAGGGAGAAACAGGAGAGATGAGCATGAAAATACAGAGGAATGGGCAGAGATGAGAAAATCCTGGGCAGAGGTGAGCAGAAGTGGAGAGAGATGGGCTGAAGTGTGGAGATGGGAGGTGAGACAGACAGAGCCGGGCAGAGGAGGGTGAAAACTGTTCAGCACGTGTCCAGAGTCAGAGAGAGATACAGGGAAAGATGGTCGGAGGTGGGCACACAGGAGCCAAGCGGAGAAGGGGTTGAGAAGTGGGAAAGCTGGAAAGGGAAAAGAGGGAAGAGAGAACAGGGGTCTGCAGGGGCCAGCCTCCACGAGGGAGGGGGCCGTGTGTGGAGTCCATGGAGCCTCCGCCCTGCCCGCCCGCAGACCTCCCTTCTGCTGCTGCTGTTACTGCTCAGCCCTGGCCTCCAAGGGACCCCCGACTGCTCCTTCCGCCACAGCCCCATCTCCTCCACCTTTGCCATCAAGATCGGCAAGCTGGTGAGCGTCCCTGTTCCCAATCCGAGCCCTAGGTGCTGTCTCTGGGTCTGACTTCCCCCTGTCAAGAGTTTCAGTGGCCCCCTGCCTCCTCCCTCAGGGTTCCCTTCCGCCGTCCGTCCCGCCATCCTTGCTCCCTTCTCTCTGGGTCCCCGCCCCCTCACTCTGGGTCCCCGCCCCCTCACTCTGGGTCCCCGACCCCTCACTCTGGGACCCCGCCTCCTTCTCTCTGGGTCCCCGCCCCCCTCTGGGGCTCCGCCCCTTCTCTTTGGGTCCCCGCCCCCTCACTCTGTGTCTCCGCCCCCTCTCCCTAGGTCCCCGCCCCCTCCCTGGGACTCCGCCCCCTTCTCTCTGGGTCCCCGCCCCCTCTCTCTGGTCTCTGTCCCTTCTCTGGGTCCCCGCCCCGTCCCCGTCCTTTCTCTCTGGGTCCCCGCCCCCTCTCTTGGGCTCCGCCCCCTTCTCTCTGGGTCCCCGCCCCCGTCCCCGCCCTTTCTCTCTGGTCTCTGTCCCCCTCTCAGTGGGTCCCTGCCCCCTCTCTGGGTCCCCGCCCCCTCTCTCTGGGTCCCCATAGTTTGTTTCCTCCTGTCTGCGCAGGCCTGACCCCGTTTTCTCCCGCAGTCCAAGTACCTGCTTCAAGATTACCCCGTCACTGTTGCCTCCAATCTTCAGGACGTGAGTCACAGACGGGAGGGGCCCAGGATGGAGGTGGGAAGGAGAGATTAGGCCACCCCCTTGCCCGGGACCCAGGAGTCCTGGCCCCCAGCCCCCTCTGCCCACCTGCGGGACCCAGAGCCTGGGTGGTCTCCCCCCCCAGGACAAGCTCTGCGGGGCGTTCTGGCGTCTGGTCCTGGCCCAGCGCTGGATGGGACGGCTCAAGACCGTGGCTGGGTCGGAGATGGAGAAACTGCTGGAGGATGTCAACACCGAGATACACTTTGTCACCTCATGTGCCTTCCAGGTCAGCCCTGAACTTGGGGGATAAGTGCGGGGAGCCTGATGCTTTCCTAGGGATTGGCAGCAAAGGTCTGCTAGGCCTTACTGGAGGTTTCCCCTTGACTGGGAACACCCTGAGGGAGGTGGAGCTAGAACCTCAGACCCGCTGGGGTCCGGTCCGGTGTGGGAAGTGACACTTCTTTAAGTACTGGAGGATGCCCAGGGGTAAGGGCCCAAGGCATCAATTCTGCTCATTTCTCAGGCCCTGTTGAAGAATGTTGCTAAGGGGTTCTTACCCTTAGCAACAGGGAGAAGGAGGGAAATCTAAACACCCTCCTGATCCGAGTCTGACTGGGTCCCCGTTGCTAGAGGGCGTTGCTAAGGATGCTTCCCCCTAGCAACCAGGGGTAGCAAGGGTCCAGACCCTCCATGAGACCCAGGCCTCACCCTTGACCTGAGGTGACGCTGGGGGTGATGCCGTGGTGACGTCTCCCTCCCCTGCCCCCAGCCCCTTCCCAGCTGTCTTCGCTTCGTCCAGGCCAACATCTCCCACCTCCTGCAGGACACTTACCAGCAGCTGGAGGCCTTGAAGCCCTGGATCACCCACCGGAATTTCTCCCGGTGCCTGGAACTGCAGTGTCAGCCGGGTAAAGCCTCCCACCGCCCCACGAACTCCTCTCCCACCTTTACAGTCCCTCACCCAGTCCACTCAGGGCTCCCATGGGCTGTGTGACTTTGGGCCTGTTTCCCCAAGCTCATCCCCCTCTGGGCCTTCATTTACTTGTCTCTGAGAAGGGAGTAACCAGCCTTGCTTGTTTCTCTGAGTCAACTCTATCCCATAGAAACAGAATGAGAGTCACATGTTTGAGTGTAAATTTTCTTATAGCCATGTTTAAAAAAGTTAAAAAGAAAAAAAAAGGTAAACTCACTTATTTTTCAGGATTCTTAATGTTTGTTATTTTTTAGTATGCTATAGGTGGGTTTATTTTTAAAACCTTTTTACCTTGGGATAATTACAGATTCACAGGAAGGTCCTGGACACCCTTTACCCAGCCTCCCCAGTGGTACATTTTGCTTAGTAATGTTAATTACAGCACATGAAATTGACATGGGTGCAATCCACAGAATTTATTCAGAGTTTGTCAGTTATGTATGCATAACTGCAGGCATGCATGTGCGTGTAGTAAGTAGTGTCTATTAGCTGCTGTAACAAGGTACCACCAACCAAAGTGATTTAAAGAGCAGAAGTTCATCCTCTTATAACTGAGGTGTCAGCAGGACTGGCTCCTTCTGAGGGCTGTGAGGGAAGGATCTGTTTCAGTTGTCTCCCTTGGCTTGTAGATGGCTATTTTCATGTTCGTGGTGCTCTCCCCCACACATATCTCTGTGTCTAGATTTCTCCTTCTTATAAGGACACCAGTCATATTGTATTAGGGCCACCACTAACAATCTCATTTTAACTTGATCACATCTTTGAAGACCTGATCTCCAAATAAGGTCACATTCCGAGGTACTAGGGATTAGGACTGCATCGTATGAAGAAAAAAAATTTTTTTCCCAGCTGTACCACACGGCTTGTAGGATCTTAGTTCCTCAACCAGGGATGGAACCCATGCTTCGTGCAATAGGGGCTAGGAGTCTGAACCACTGGACGGGACTGCCAGGGAAATACCTGAGTTTGTGTAATTTTATCCCCATCCCAAAACTCCCACCTCCATCCCCTGGCAACCAGTAATGCTATTGAATTTAATTCTTATAGTTTTATAATTTTTAAGATAATTATTTCAATCACAAAGAGCCCTTTAAAAAATAATTTTATTTATTTATTTTTGGCTGCTCTGGGTCTTTGTTGCTGTGTGCGAGCTTCCTCTGGTTACTGCAAGCGGGAGCTCCTCTTCCTTGCGGTGTGTGCACATCTCATTGTGGTGGCTTCTCTTGTTGGGGAGCACAGACTCTAGGTGGTAGGGCTTCAGTAGTCTTGGCACACAGACTTAGTTGCCCTGCAGCGTGTACTGAACCTGCGTTAGCAGACAGATTCTTATCTACTGCACCACCAGGGAAGTCCTTTTTTTTTTTAAAGGTGTGTGTGTGTGTGTGTGTGTGTGTGTGTGTGTGTGTGTGGCTGTCCTGGGTCTTCATTGCAGCACACAGGCTTTCGGTTGGATGCAGGCTTAATTGTCCCTCAACATGTGAGATCTTAGTTCCCTGACCAGGGATGAAACTAGCATCCTCTGCATTTTAAGGTGGATTCTTAACCACTTAACCACTGTTTGCTGTTCATATTTACATGCATCACTAATTATCCATTCAACTAAGTTTTACTAACCATCTCCTTGATGTTTGGCATTGGAGACACAGTACAGAACAAGATCAAGTTTGTGTCCATGGGGCACTAACCTGCTGACAGGTTAGTCAGCAGGTTGTCAGGTCAGGGAGACATGATAAACATGTAAACATATAAATAAATAGGAAAGTGTCTTAAGTGTAATGAGTCCTAAACAGGCACATTAAAACAGGGTGGTGGAATCATGGCTTGAAGTGGTCAGCTGGAAAGTCACCGAAAGTTGCAAACAGGGGAACGGGTAGTGCAAAGGTCCTGAGGCAGAAACCCGCCTCCCTATTTAAGGAATCAAGAGGGAGCCCCAGTGGCTGAGGCCAAGTAAGCAAAGGGGAAAAGGTGTGGAGTGAGGGTACGGAGGGAATAAAGGGGGCCAGCTCACGTGGGGCCTTGTGAGCCATCATGGCTTCATACAGTGTATCTTTTATTGTTCTATTAGCTGTCCATTCACTCAGATATTTAATTTATGTAAATTAAACTATTTGGGCTTCCCTGACATCTCAGCAGTAAAGAATCTGCCTGCCAATGCAGGAGATTTGGGGTTTGATCCCTGGTGCCTGGAGAAGGAAATGGCAACCCACTCCGGTATTCTTGCCTGCGAAACCCCATGGACAGAGGAGCCTGGTGGGCTACAGTCCTTGGGGTCACAAAGACTCGGACATGACTTAGTGACTAAACAACAACAACAAGAAGTACTAGGTTCTGGCGATGTCTCCTGTCACCCTCCTGGAGCTCATAGACTCCTGGGGGAAGAAGAAGAATATATAAATCAATAGGTAAGCAATAAACACATTTGTCCAATTATAAAATGCAGGGAATTTCCTGGTGGTCCAGTGGTTAGGACTCTGCACTTCCATTGCTGGGGGCCTAGTTTCAATCCCTGGTCTGGTCAGGGAACTAATATCGTGCGTGCCTTGAGGCCAAAACAAGTAAAATGATGTATTTGAAATGAAGACTTATTGGGACTTCCCTGGCAGTCCAGTGGTTAAGACTCTGAGCTTCCAATGCAAGGGGCACAAATCTGATCCCTGGCTGGAGAAGTAAGATCCCAAATGCCACCCAGTCAATAAACAAATAAAAGTAAATAATAAATAAAATATTTTTTAAAATGTATAGGGTCTGATTAAACAAGTAAACAAGCATACCAATTTTAAAAAGTTATTAGTGACTATTTTTTTTACTATATTTTTGGCTGCGCTGGGTTTTCGTTGCTGCCCTCATTGTGGGCTACTCTCTAATTTTGGTGTGCAGGCTTCTCATTGCAGTGGTTTCTCTTGTTTCGGAGCATGGGCTCTCTGGCATGGGTTAAGCAGTTGTGCCCAGGGGCTTAGTTGCCCTGTGGCATGTGGAATCTTCCTAGACCAGGGATGGAACCCATGTCCCTTGCATTGGCAGGTGGATTCTTTTTTTTTTTTTTCCATTTATTTTTATTAGTTGGAGGCTAATTACTTTACATCATTGCAGTGGTTTTTGTCATACATTGAAATGAATTAGCCATGGATTTACATGTATTCCCCATCCGGTCCCCCCTCCCACCTCCCTCTCCACCCGATCCCTCTGGGTCTTCCCAGTGCGCCAGGCCCGAGCACTTGTCTCATGCACCCAACCTGGGCTGGTGAACTGTTTCACCCTAGATAATATACATGTTTCGATGCTGTTCTCTTGAAACATCCCACCCTCGCCTTCTCCCAGAGTCCACAAGTCTGTTCTATACATCTGAGTCTCTTTTTCTGTTTTGCATATAGGGTTATCGTTACCATCTTTCTAAATTCCATATATATGTGTTAGTATACTGTAATGGTCTTTATCTTTCTGGCTTACTTCGCTCTGTATAATGGGCTCCAGTTTCATCCATCTCATTAGAACTGATTCAAATGAATTCTTTTTAATGGCTGAGTAATATTCCATGGTGTATATGTACCACAGCTTCCTCATCCATTCGTCTGCTGATGGGCATCTAGGTTGCTTCCATGTCCTGGCTATTATAAACAGTGCTGCGATGAACATTGGGGTGCACGTGTCTCTTTCAGATCTGGTTTCCTCGGTGTGTATGGCAGGTGGATTCTTAACCACTGGACCACCAGCGAAGTCCTATTAGTGACTTTAAAAAAATCAATAAAATGCAACCTTACTACGTGCTAGGCACTGTTCTAAGCACTTTCTGTACATTCACTCATTTAATCTTTGTGACAAACTTATGAATTTGGTATAATAATTATACCCACTTTATGGATGAGGCGACTGAGGCCCAGAGAAGTGCGCAGCCTACCCCCGCGCCCTCCCCCAGGTCACACAGCCAGCACCAGACAGGCCTTTTTTTCCCTTCCCTGGCCTGGCCCTTCTCAGTCACCTGACCTCTCTCCTGGCAGACTCCCCCACTCTGCTGCCCCCGAGGAGTCCTGGGGCCTTGGGAGCCACATCCCTGCCGGCCCCTCAGTCCCCTCTTCTGCTCCTCTTGCTGCTGCTGCTGCTGCTGCCGGTGGCCCTCCTGCTGCTGGCCGCTGCCTGGTGCCTGTGCTGGCAGAGGAGGAGACGGAGGACACCCTACCCTGGGGAGCGGGTGAGCCAGCGGGGTGCGCAGAGCGGGTGGAGAGGGTCCAGGGGGCGACCGGAGGTGGCGGATTCCATGGGGGCCATGGTACCCTGCCCCTCCCATCCCTAGGATGCTCTGCTCTCCTGGAGGACCCCGGACTTGGTGTTGGTGTGGGGGCCATGGGGGTGGGGGATGACAGAACGGGAGCAGGGAAGCGGTGGGTCAGCTCTGGATGTAAGACCACCCCTCTGGGACCATGGAGGGGGACAGACTGGGACAGACAGACTGGAGGCCAAGGAGGGGGCCGGGTGAGCGTCCAGGAAGAGAGGAAGGTCTGAGCAGGGGCCAGGACAGGACCACGGGGTAGAGAGGAGGGGACAGGCAGAGTCAGGGGTCAGGAGGGACAGGGCTGGAGGGTGACAGGCTTAGTGGGGTCGGGGGTGGGGGTCAGCAGGGAAGGGAAGATGGCACAGGCAAAGGTCTGGCCCAGTGGGGAACCTGGGAGGAGGAGGAACAGTCCAGCATTCAGGAAAGACAGAGAAGCTCAGTGGGGCGGGGAGGTATTTGGATATAGGAGTCTATTAGCCAGGAGAGAGCCGCCTCCAGGAGCAGGCTCTGCAAAGCCCTCCAGGTATGAAAAAGCTCAGGGTATTCTAGCAACTTTGACCAGTCTGGGGGTGGGGTGAAAAAAAACAAAACGGCACTGGAACATCTAGACCTCAAAGGTAAGAAAGGGAAGCTGGGATTTCCTACCCTGGGGAAGCAAGAAGCCCCTAAGGCGAACCTGGGAACCGGTTTGGGGGTTGTAGGTGGTACCCTGAGGGAGAAAGGCTGGGAGGGGCCGTGGGTTACCCAAGTGCCCAAAGGAAACATTTGGCAGCAGTCGCTCACCTGTTGAGTGCCTCAGTGCCTCAGGCCTTGTGCTGGAGCTTTCTACAAATTAACTCACTTAATTGAGAAACTGGTGGCCCTTATTATCCCCATTTCCCCTTGGCGGAACCCGAGGCTCAGAGAGGTGAATCTTTTGCCGAAAGTCACACAGCTCCTGAGCTACAGCCAAGATTTGACTCTGGGCCCTCTGATTCCAGCATCCATGCCTTTCACTCTTCTGCCTGTTTCCTTATCTGTACAAAAGACTCATAATCATCCTTTACGCTAGAGTTGTCAGGAGGTTAACTGAAAGGACCACGAAAACCCCCTAGAGCAACACTGTCCATAGGAAATAGAATACAAGCCACACATATGACTTTAAATTTTCTGGTAGCCGCATCTTTTTGTTTCTTAATTTTTAATTGAAGGATAGCTGATTTACCACATTGTGCCAATGCATCTTTTTAAAAGTAAAAACAAACAGATTACCTTAAAGAATTTATGTTATTTCACCCTGTGTATCCAAAATCTTGTCATCTCAACATGCAATCAATACTTTAAAAATCATTGAGGTATTTTTACATTCTTGTTTCCATACCAAGTTTTCAGAATCCAATGTGTAATGCGACACTCACAGTGCATCTCAATTCATATGAGAAACTTTTATAAGAAATACTTGATCTGTATTAAGATTCCATGAAACTTAGTTGTGTAAGTAGATTCCTATACTCAAGTTCTTTGAAACCTCCAAAGTTTGCCAATAACTGGATCAAGGAACAGTTTCTAAATTCAATGATTTTTTTCATTTCAGCATTTCTTTTGGACAGTACTTTTTATTACTTTTTGGTTTTGAGATATAATTCTCAATTTTCAATTGAGAAATTTTCCTCCTATTCTTGTCCCTTTTCATACCCTGTTTTCCCATGCTCCCAATAACCACACTATTAATTGAAGCTTAACTTAACGTGAAATGAAAAACTAAGGTCCTCCGTTTTGCTGGTCACAATAGGAATGCCCAGCATTCACATGGGGCTGGTCTCAACGGCTGTCTTGGAAAGCACAGATCTAAAACGTTTCCATCATTGCTCAAAGTTTTCTTGGACAGCAATGCCCAAACACATAGCGAGTGCTCACGGTGAATGGAGTCGTTTTCAGACATTGAGTCTGTACTTGAGCTTATACCCTGAGGTTGGTACTTTCCTCTCTGTCCGTGGAACCTCAAACAGCTCAGTGAGTCATCTATCATCCCATTTTACAGCGGAGGACACTGAGGCCCAGAGAGAGCAGTCACCTGCCTGCGGACACAGAGTCGGAACTTGGAGGAAGTCAGCTAGAACCTGGTCCTTTCTTTGGCCACACTGCTCCTGTCACTGTCCCCCCGGGATGGAGGCAACGCCAGCACCCACCATCGGCTCCCCCTTCCCCCCTTTGTACAAAGCCCTTGTCCCCAGGAAATTGTATATAAATCATCATTTTCTACCAGCACTGGCCAGGTTTGTCTGTGGATGGGACACGGTGTGTGTATGGGACGGTTTGGATTTGGGTTTGGTTTTTAAGTTAATGCAATGTTTCATTCAATACCTATTTTCTGAGTCCTCCCGGGGCCCAGGGCCAGAACAGGGCAATGCTGGGACCCAGACGTGAGTCGGAACCAGCCCCGCCCTCTCAGGATTCCTGGTCCAGAGGGGAGAAGACGTCGGCCCCAGAGAGCCCCAGTACATGAGGACACACGCTCTAATGCATGTGGCGTAGGCGTAGTGTGTGGGAGCCCCCAGGCTGTACCTGAGCCAGCCTGAGAGATGTCAGGGAGGTTCTCTAAAGGGAAGGACTCAAGACAGATTTTAGAAAAGGGGGGGGGGGGAGCGGGGGGGAGAGGGGGCGGGTCGGCATCCCAGTCAAGGGACACTGTCAAGGCAAAGGCTTTGTCCACAAAATCCAGAAAGTGAGAAGCACTCAGGCATCTATGTCATTCCTTCATACGTCAGCTCTCAAACGGAAGACTATCTCCACCTGTTTACCAGGTGGGGACACTGAAGCCCATAAAGGGCTAGGGATTTAGTCAGATCACAAGTCAAACAGGCACTGGAATTCAGATCTCTAAGCCTTAGCGGAGCGCTGAAGGGCAAGTCCTCCTTGCCCCCTGCAGGCCACCACGTGCCCTGCAGCGCGACATCGCTTCAGGGGGTAACCGCTTCTCCTCCAGCATTCCTGGCCCCGCCCATCTGCAAACAGCGGGCAACTCACGCGAGGCTTACCAGCCCCTCAAGAATACTGCAGCGAAGGCTGGAGAGCACCGCCCCCGTAGAGCCACCTCCTACCCCACGTGATCTCGCCCGGCTCAGCCATGGCCGCCTAGCCTCGATGGGAACGATACTGATTGGACAGTCGGAAGATGACCCGCCTCCCGGTGGGGCATTTCTGCGCACGCGCCTGACACTCTGGCCAATGAGAAGACAGAAAGCGGCGGTGTTGCGTCACTTCTTCCGCCCCTGTTTCAAGGGATAAGAAACCCTGCGTCTAGGGTTCCTTCTTTCCCAGGCGGCTGCCGAAGATGGCGGAGGGGCAGGTACAGGCTCCGCGCGGGCCGGGGTGGCGTGGGGCCGGGTGGGGTCCAGGCTGGACCGGGGTTGGACCTCTTTTCTCTCGTAAGTGTGCTGTGGAACTTAAGGACGATAACTGAGCAAAGCAGAAAGCTTTCGGGGTAAGAGAACTCCAAAACGGGAATATAAGGCAGTTTTTGCGCTCTGGGTTGGCTAAGAATTCGGCATCGTTTTTTCCTCGAGGGGCAGTTATCGGGGCTTCCTACACAAGAAGAGTTATTTTAAAATTAGGCCTCATTTATTTAGACCTTGGCGGAATTGAACTGGTGTGTCCCCAGCAATGGGAAAGCACGCTGAAGGCGGCTACGCCACCTGGGGATGGTGAGAAGCCGGGAGTAGGCCAAAATGGAGGGTATTTCCGCCCTGCCCAGGCGCTGGTTGCTTCGGCCACGTGAAAGTGCAGCAGCGGGTAATTTGGCACGAAACCTTTGTTGTAGATTGGGAGTTCTCTTGCATATGGGGCAGGCACAAATTGCTCTGCTTTGGGGTTAGATGGAGTCTAAAAGTCTTCTGGTGTTAGAAACTGGACTGAATGAAATGCTCCGGTTCCTTGAGACATTCTTAATTGCTTAATCAGCCAGAGACCCTCAAGGAAGGCAGAAGCTTACCACTGACTCTTCTCCGGCTTCTTGTGTAACTTGTTGCTGATAAAGGGAGGGAGTGGCTCTGGAAGGGGTGTACTTGTGATGGGGTCTGTGGTTCAGGAAGGAAAATTAAGTTTGAAGCCAGGGAAGTGGTAGAGCTCCGAACATGGGTCCCTGCGTTCACATAACATACGCTTGGTAAGAGCTGGGACTTCTGAAAAGAAGCCAAGGATTAGATTAGTATTTGAGCCGTTAAAGCTTGCCTGAGGATGCAGAGCTAGTCAATACCAGAGGAAGTTTGGGCTTTTGACTACCCTACCTAGTTTCACTGCCTCTGAACCTGTTTGCTTTGATACTCACACTAGAAAGCTACCTTTGAGATCAGAACAGAATCAGATTTTGTACAGGTTGCATCCAGATTACTGGTTCTTTTAACTGGGTGATCAGTGTTGGTTCAGATTGTAGGTCATTCCCTGACCATGGAACATAATCTGGACATAAAGATGCCTGCTTTTGAAGCAGCTGAAATGTGAGGGGTTGGTTTATTTTGTATCTTAGCTGCCCGCTGAAATCCTGAGTCAGTCATTTGCTTTCTTGGCCATCTCTAAAGTGAGCCTTAAGTTCTAGTTTTGGGTCTGATATCTGGTTAGCAGGCATCTGGGAGGTAACTGAACTAATGGAGAAGAGTAATTGGTTGAAGTGGGCAGTCAAAGTTGTGGGTGCCTTTGAGCCCTTCTGAGCTTCAACCTGTTTCCAGCAGGTCCTGGTGCTCGATGGCCGAGGCCATCTCCTGGGTCGCCTGGCGGCCATTGTGGCCAAGCAGGTGCTTCTGGGTAAGTCTGCTTGCTGCTCACAACTCCTACCAGACATGAGCTCAGAGGTCAATGATGAGCAAAAATCACCATCTTTCGTTTGAGTCTCACGACTGTGAGATCAACCCCATGCACCGCTCTGAGACCTGCCAGCATCCTGCCCTTCCGGGTCGGGGGCTCTGAATTCAAAACATGTTTTGTTGGAGTAACAAATTGAACTTGGGGCAGGAGATTCTGGTGTCTCCTGGAGTGTTTGTGCACAGGGGCAAGTTTCAGGCAGGGAGCGGGTCTCCTTTCTGGGCAGTGACTGGGCACCTGGCTTCCTGACCTTTGCCCTCCTTGATTGTTCCATTTTCCATTCCCTCTAGGCCGGAAGGTTGTGGTCGTGCGCTGTGAGGGCATCAACATTTCTGGCAATTTCTACAGAAATAAGTGTGAGTTAGGGCCTGGGAGGAGGTCTGGGGAGGCTGGACCTGTGTGGGGCTCAGGCTTCACAAACTTGGAAAGCAGAACCCCCAGTGGTGGGAGAGGCAAGTCCGAGTTCCCTAGCAGGCCCTCAGAAGTGAGGTCATGGTGATGGAAGGAGTTACAGTCTGGCTGGGGACTCAGGCCTTACACGCTCTCCCTTCTTCCCAGTGAAGTACCTGGCCTTTCTCCGCAAGCGGATGAACACCAACCCGTCCCGGGGCCCCTACCACTTCCGAGCCCCCAGCCGCATCTTCTGGCGGACAGTGCGAGGTGAGCTGGGCCCGGGGACCGCAGGTGCTGAGGGGGCAGGTAGCCAGTGATGAAGACTTCTCCCACTCGTGTTCGAGTTTCCCAACCGTGAGATGACTCCACATGCACTACCATCTGAGGCCACCTGTCTGCCTGCCTGGGTGGGACAGCGGCTCCCCACGTGCCCCAGTGAGCAGGCCTGCTGTCCTCTGTCCACAGGCATGCTGCCCCACAAGACCAAGCGGGGCCAGGCTGCTCTGGACCGCCTCAAGGTGTTCGATGGGATCCCACCGCCCTATGATAAGGTGAGCAAGACCCAGCTCCCTCGACATCACCCACGTGGCTGGCGTCGGTGATGTTCTACAATTACCTACATTGTTTGATCCCTGTGAAAACAGCAGCGGCTGAGACGCCTGCCCCAGCCAGCATTCTTCCCTGTCTGTCCCTCACTCCAGGTCTCTAAGCCCCTCTCCTTCTCTAACAGAAAAAGCGAATGGTGGTCCCTGCTGCCCTCAAGGTTGTGCGTCTGAAGCCTACGCGGAAGGTGAGTCTCCAGGTGTCTCTGAGTGATGCCCTTGGGATTCTGAGCTTTCCTGGGAGGGGTGCGCTGAGGGTCCCAGGACTGGCAGATGATGGCTTTTTCTCACGATGGTCTGCGGATGCCACTGCAGGCAGTGCCGAGAACGCCAATGGCTCAGCTGATGCCAGGAGGAACAGGGAGCCCTGCCAGGGAGGGCGTGGCTGTGCCAGGGAGCATGGCTTCCCTGACAACTTGGAAGTCTCTAGGACAGGATGCTAATGCCCTCTCCTGGTCACCCTGGCCTGCTTTTCTAACAGCTTCGTTTCTTCTCCCTCCCCTCTAGTTTGCCTACCTAGGGCGCCTGGCTCATGAGGTTGGCTGGAAGTACCAGGCAGTAACGGCCACCCTGGAGGAGAAGAGAAAGGAGAAAGCCAAGATCCACTACCGGAAAAAGAAGCAGCTCATGGTGAGGGTGGGCTTGTACTGGGGGGGGTGGGGGGGCACCACGTTCCTGGGAGCTGGTAACTCTTATCTGTTTTGTTAGGCCCTTAGAAGGCTTTGCCTAAGGCCCACTGTGGGATGGGGAGTGGGATTGGGTCCCTGGAATGAGGACAGTCCCAGGGAGCAGCCACTGATTACTGTCATTTTGGCCCCACAGAGGCTACGGAAGCAGGCCGAAAAGAACATTGAGAAGAAAATTGGCAAATTCACAGAGGTCCTCAAGACTCACGGATTTCTAGTCTGAGCCAAATAAAATTGACTGTTTATTCTTCATGCTTGGCCTGGCCTGCCCTTCCTCCATCGCCACCCTAGGATGTGGGGGCCCCCAGGGGCTGCCATGCAGGTGCCACAGGCAGACGGGGGTATAGCTGAGGGGCGTTAGTCAGTGTAGGCAGGTCCAGGGGCCGTGCAGGCATCGTTGGTCTGCAGCCTATTTGTTCGTGAGACTTTTAAGACATGAACAGTTGGAACAACCAGTCCAGTTGCAATATTGGCAGAAGTGAGCTGGAAGACTTAATTGGAAGGGATTCGCATGACTTACAGGGAGTCTGTTCACGCTTCCCCTGTGGTTGGATACTATACTCTGCAGCTGTTAGGGGGTGAGAATGCCCAAAAAGTGTCTCTGGAAGAGAAGTTTCAGCCAAGGGGTCACAGGCATCGCCCTCGTGTCTTCCCTTTATTTTGTGATCCAAAACCAATAAATTATTTTTTTAAAGAAATGCGGCGTCTTT